CTCATCCGATGTTGCGGGTGTCCATGAGCGTCGTTGATTGCTTACCATCAGGTAATGCAAGCGCATTAATAAATCGCGGCCCCAGCTCGAAGCAGAAGAAGGAACGGGTGGTTTTTAGTCAGTACGAATATGACTATCCATCTCACCTTTCCTCTAGGGGGGAAAAATCATCCAATCCCTCGAAAAAAAAACTTTTCTCTTAAGTAACTACTTTTCTGAATGATAAAAAGAAGTATTTTCAACTTCAGGGACTATGTTTACTTGTATTTTTTACAAATACCGTCATACTTTTCCTGTAGTAATTGGGTCTTGGGTAACTATTGATTTTGACAATTTGAAAATAGTAAGTTTGGAACTTGGCTATTTAGTGATCTTTTATAAAGTGTATGTCTACAGGATTAACAATAACACTTTGCACTTCATTATTAATAAGTATATTAACATAGATGAATTATCACCTAATAATTATCTTCGTACTTCTTAATAAACAAGAAATATAACTTAATGAGAACATTTATCATAAAGCTGGCATTTACCTACCTAAATAAAAAATTCACAACGGCACTTGTAAACACGTCAACTAAGACCAAAGATTTATTGATGCAGTTGTTAATTCACTTTTTATGCAAAATTGTAACGCGTTTCTTTGTATCCAACCGCATATATGTAGGTACCTATTTAAACAGACAATCTCAATAATTTATCTGTGAGTTCCGAGAAGAGAGACGGATAGACCATGGTCCTTATATCCGTATCTAGGTCTGTAATAGATACCTAGAAAAATTATGATACTAGAATTTTGCACAGATAGGCAAGTTATACGAACCTAAATGGAGATAAAAAGTAGTGGTAAATCTATGCTCTATGCGCTAGGTATGTGTATTTTAACCCGCTTCGGAAACGGACAAGAAAAACTTCTTGTCCCACTCATAGGCGGGAAAACACGACAAGACTGAAGAGATATGTCGGCCTTTTAGGTAGGTACTGAATAAAACCCATCCTGTTCCATGTTCTCTTCCGTGCCAGCCCGCGGTGCGGTATATCATTGTTTGAACCGTAACTAAAGTCGGGTTAACAATAGTTTTGAAATCTGATCCAACAGACAAACTGTGTATACAGTTTTGTTGGACATTTTATACTTTTTATAATGTAAAATGTAAGGTACATTTTACATTATAAAAAGTATAAAATGTATGCTAAGCAATAATAAATAAATAAATAATAAATAATAAATAATAAATAATAAATAATAAATAATAAATAATAAATAATAAATAATAAATAATAAATAATAAATAATAAATAATAAATAATAAATAATAAATAATAAATAATAAATAATAAATAATAAATAATAAATAATAAATAATAAATAATAAATAATAAATAATAAATAATAAATAATAAATAATAAATAATAAATAATAAATAATAAATAATAAATAATAAATAATAAATAATAAATAATAAATAATAAATAATAAATAATAAATAATAAATAATAAATAATAAATAATAAATAATAAATAATAAATAATAAATAAATAAATAAATAATAAATAAATAACAAACGTGATGTTATAAGCTGCCAGTTATACCATTTGTACTGACGAAAACGTGCCCGAAGTGACCCGGGTAGAGTTGAGAGTGGCGGTGGCTCGCATCAAGAACACCGCTCCAGGGCCCGACGGCATTCCAGGCCGTGCATGGGTCCTGGCTATGGGAGCTCTCTGGCCCCGAGTAGCGGGGCTCTTAAGCGCATGTTTGGAGCGGGGCCAGTTTCCAAGCCGGTGGAAGACCGGAAAGCTGGTCCTGCTCAAGAAGGCGGGGCGCCCCGCAGACTCCCCGTCTGCGTACAGGCCGATCGTGTTGCTGGACGAGGTGTGTAAGATCTTCGAGCGAATCATCGCCGGCCGCCTCGTTCGTGTTCGCCGTGTTCCGCGCGCGCCTCATAGTGGAGTCCTGCGGTCGGGGTGACGGCCGCAGTGGGCGACGGGGCCCGCCTTACCATCTGGCGGGCCAATACCTGTCGGGGGGTTGCGACGAATGCTTCGGCGATACCCGCCCCTCCGACACATGGGTTATTGGAGGAACACCAGGTTGATTTTTAGTCAGTAAGAGTCTGTCAGTACCTTCGCCCTTACCCGGGGGCGGTGGGTCTCCATGAGGATTTTCCAACCCGACACCAAAAAAAAAGTCATACCATTTGAGAACATACGAGTCAGTTTTACTCTTAAAAATGAAAGTCACTTCGTAATTTTCGTCTAGCTTCAAGCATGTTAGCGGCCAGTCTCTTCAACTTTAGACGCAAAATCATAGCTAACCGGTTTTTCCACTGTGGACCGTAAATAAATTACATATTTTTACAATACTTTATTTTTTTAATAACACTCACGTGTTAGTGTTTAATAAGTTATAATGTTGCATGTGACAAAATAGCTAGATAGGTTGGTACAGAACGCAGGTCAACTGTCCTCTAACGATTTTCAACTTCATTGTTTTGGTTTTAAGTCAAGTGTCAAGTGTTTTTAAGTCGAAAATTGAATGGAAAAATTGTCATTAGTGAGTATTTTGATCTGCTGGCGTCTTGGTATACTTGAGGAAAATAGGTTAGGACAACATATTACAGAATAGTTCTTGGTATATAAAGATTGTTAACTAAGATATTATTTAATAGGTACTTATGTAGTACTTGGAACAATTCTTACCGTATAATTTGTACCCATTTGACCTCTGTTCTTTATAGGTGGGTATTTTTTATCTGTGCTTCCTTTGTAAAGTCTGACGTAGTTTTTCACTACCTACTTACCTATGTAATTAAGTAGTGAAAAACTATTACCTTTAAGGAGGGGGGGCCCCCTCCTCCGGGGGGAGGAGGCACAAACAGAGCTACATACGTCGTTTGTTCCAACTGTCTTGCTGTCTAGCTATCACACCAAAGAGTATGTAACCACTACGTGTGTATCACACTGGTACCAAACCATAGAGAATAAGCAATTTAATTGTGTTTATTAAGAATAAATAAAAAAACTGCATCAAAATCCGTTGCGAACTTAGTTTTAAAGATTTAAGCGTACAGAGGGATATAGGGACAGATAAAGCTACCTTGTTTTATACTGAAACAATGAACCAATGAATTTATTTTTGCAAATAGGCCATAAAACGGCACTTTTACACGTCAATTTATATGTGAAAAACTAGATGAAGCCGGATGAAGTACTATCTGGAGACTATTTAGTGACTAGTACCTATTAACCTACCACTCACTCCCAGATCGTTAAAAGTAATTTAATGATATTCCCAGCTAAAAAAATATCCCCATTAAGTACCACATACTTCAACCACTTGCAAACTAAAGGTTAATTGATACCAATTATTATGTAGCATTTAACTATTTTGGTCCATATACGAAACAGATCCCTTCACAAATAAAAGCAAACCTCTCATCCATTTACTGGCCACCAACTACTTATTTTACCCAAAAAAAAACGAATGGCCAAACAAATAAAAAAAACAGACGAGAGTTCACAATACGCTCAACCAGTTCTTGCAAATCTTGCTTGCATTACAAACGTTCTGAACTTGACATTTAATACTTGGGCAATTTTAGATACGCGTTCTACTCGTTGCCTACCTAAACCTTTTACTACCTACTCAGATTTGGCAATGATCTTGACACATGTTTCCCGGACGGAAGCAAATAATACTATACCAATATTAAAACTGTATAAATAAGTGATCATAAAAAATTACTGTAGTTATATTTAACTTTAATTATGTTTAGCAAGGTGAATTCAACGATAACGTGTTTTTTTATAAGTATTTTGTTGCTGTAATTACTTGCTTATGATAATACCATTAGGTACCCTTTTTTGAGTATGGCAATCGTCAAATGATTTTTCCCGCCTTAGCTTAGGCTGTGAGGTATTGTCAGACTCTTACTGACTTTAAACCACCCCGTTCCTTGTTCTACTCCAGGCCGCGCAATTTTATAACGTTTGACCCTCAACTCCGGCTGGACATCAGCCCTATTGGCCCCATGTGGTGGTCTTAGCACCCTAAAGTATAAAACAACCATCCTAAAAACAGTTGTTATTAACACATTCAGTGCCCCCGACGCGTATGTGCGTTCTATACATTAATGTATTGAACGCACAGGTGCGTCGAGGGCACACAGAGTAGCGTAAGGAAACGCACATACGCGTCGGGGGCACTGGATGTGTTAAAAGAGAAAATCAATTTGCATCATGTTTGGTGTATGCTTGTCTAGTTTTCTAACCATAAAATAAGTATATTATGTATTATACATTTATAAACAACCAGCATAGTGACCAATGTTAAGTACGCTACTCTGTGTGCCCTCGACGCACCTGTGCGTTCAATACATTAATGTATAGAACGCACAGGTGCGTCGAGGGCACACAGAGTAGCGTAAGGAAACGCACATACGCGTCGGGGGCACTGGATGTGTTAATAGACTAGCGAAATATTTAAATACGTTCCAAACAATTATCTAAGCAGCATGTTCAGTCTACGAATACAAAAGAACCGATAGCATCAATTATGTTTTTTTAACAGAATATTTCGATGAATTCAATTTTATAGTTTTAATGATGAATATCTTTCGATTTCTCAAACACGACCGCAACATCAAAGAAACAGGTCCTAATTAATTCATATTAACGTAATATTTGAAAGTTTTTGTGATCATTTGAATGCAATACGTGTTGAAGGACTGCATTAGCCAATGAGAGCGCGAAATTGGCAGTGGCGCGTGGTTTTTGTCCAATCAAATAAGCTAATCTTTTCTATAAAATTTGATCGACCAATCACGACACTGTTTTTTATATAATTCTAATCTATTGTAGGTGTGGTTGTAAACGTGTTGTAAAATAGCAAATATGGGCGAGGAAGAACCTTCAAAGCTTGGGACACTCTTTGTTTGGCATCTAAGATACTATACATGGAAGATAGTTTTTTTTATTACAAATAAAACCGTGTTAAATTTATAAATCAATTTATTAGTATTTATTTCCTCTTCTTTTTCTTGTTATTCTTATACTTGAGTTTCTGTTTAATCTTTTCTTTCCGTATTCTTTCCTTGACGATCTGTTGTTTGTTCTTGAATTCTTTAGACTTGGCCTCCGCTGATTTCTTGGCGACTCGCTCGTTGTGTTTCACCCAGTGAGGTCTAAATTCTGAAGCTGTTGGAAGAACAACAAATTGAATTAACTATGATTTTCTTTATAACTTCACACCATTATTTTGTTTTATCATTTAAAATATCGAAACCATATGGAAATCTAAATCAGACACCATTATTTCGATGAGAATTTTTTGGACGGAAGTGCAAACATTTTTTTTACTAAACACACCTTTTTTCCATTGATACGAATGACTACGTATTACTTCAATATTATAAAGCTATAGAGTTTGATCGCACTGATTTAAGGTACTACTACAAACGGGCTGTTATAGGTTAGATAGTCCTCTAGGCTAAATAGAGCCCTCCACTGGTAAAAGCTAATGTAAATTGTTCTCCTCCCTTAACTGACCCCAGAACCAGGAACCTTGTTAAGACGTTTGAGGGCCGTTGATCAAACTACTTTATTACTAGTGAAATAAAATTTAAATTGATTCCGTAAGGAAAATTTCAGTTGATGCAGAACACATTTTAAAATACGGTTTATTATGATGATTGTGTACAAATGGCTACGGAATATATTTATATTATTACTAGTAGCCTGCCCCTGCTTCGCATGGGTAACCAACTATTTTCCCGGTTGCTATTTCTTGCATTAAAATAACCTACCCTGGTGATAAAAAGGACTGGTCAAATCGGTTGAGGCTTTGTTAAGTTATATACTTACCAACGCATTTTCAATTCATTTATACAAACTTGTTCATATAATATTATGTGGCTTTATTTTGCTGTAATAAATGCTCAATACTCAATAAAGATATTGAGTATATGTAAATGTAAAATGTACTAATACATACCAGCTCTCTTCCTGTTAGTATCGTGTCCCTGTTCATCGTCGGAGCCTGCGTCGGCGACGTTTCGCTTCCGCCACTCGTCGTACCGTCCGCTGCGGTATGAGGCAGGGACGCGGCCTCCGCTCTCCGTGCGAATCATCTTGCGACCTCCGTCCTGTTACATATTTAAATAATTTAATTACATAAATTATCCTCAGTAGAGATACGGCAGAACACAATAACTAAATTATTCTACTGATATTATAAATGTGAAAGTTTGTGAGAATGTATGAATGTATTTTTTCGATTTGGTTTGTTGCTTTTTATCAACATACCACGCGGGCGGAAACTAGTCAACTATAATACGAATTATGTGTTTTATTCAATGCATTTTTAGGGGAAGATATCGTTTATTTATTTAAATAAATAATATTTGGAATTGATAAATCTTTTTATTTTTGACTTGCGAGGCAGTAGCAATAATTAGTATAGAATAAGAACTAAGCGCGCAGCGGGAAAACGCAGGGAATAACTGTTATTAAATATTTTGTGGAATATTTTACTTGTCAATTACGTAAAGTTAAAAATTATAAACATTATAAAAATATTTCTCTTTAGTTTACATGACAAAATTCGACCAATATTTGAGTAACATACCGGGTCGACATGCACCATCTTCTTCCGCTTCCTGTCCCAGCGCAGCATGGCCTTCTGCGCGCGCGCCGCGTCCCCGCTGTCCGCGCCCAGCTCTAGCTGGGCAGACTCGGCGCCCACCGCGAAGTTCACTGCCATACTGGAGAAAAATAACAGTATTTAATAATTCTCTTAATACCAAAACAAGCTGTTAAAAAACAACTAACAATTGGAAGGTTAAAATAAACTCTAAATCTGGATGTTTAAGTGTCAATTTGATCCATGCTAGTTGTGAAAGTTTCATGTACAAATCCCGTCGATTGCCCCTACAAATCCCGTCGATTGCTCCTACAAATCCCGTCGATTGCCCCTACAAATCTCGTCGATTGCCCCTACAAATCCCGTCGATTGCCCCTACAAATCCCGTCGATTGCTCCTACAAATCCCGTCGATTGCCCCTACAAATCCCGTCGATTGCTCCTACAAATCCCGTCGATTGCCCCTTCAAATCCCGTCGATTGCTCCTACAAATCCCGTCGATTGCCCCTACAAATTTTTATCAGCCTATAAAATGATCACGGCTGAGCAAAGGCTTATTACACGGAAAAGGTTTGATTTTAATCACAAAACTTGCTCAAAGCTGATTGGCGATTTCAAACTGATAATTGGAATTGAACCGTATGTTTTGGTGTCTACACAATCATAGAATGTATATATAACACGGAAAAAGTCACATCGTCACTTGTCAGGATTCGAACCTACACTCTCATGCACTTAACCTCCGGGCCACGCACATTACACAACAAATCTTTATATAAAGTTTTGTACAAATACTTAATTACTACAAATTAGTTTTAAAATATAATAAAAGAAAGACAAATTTTAAGCCATCATCGGCTAGCTTATTATACCATCATTCTTCCTATGTTACTTACCCCATTTCAGTATGTTGATCGCTAGCGTAATGTGAGATGTAATTCTCATCGCGAACGACTTCTTTCTTCTTCTTCTTAGGGGGCTGGTTCGGCGGGCGACTCATTTTTATGTTGCTCGAGTCTTCCAATACGCCTTCAGCCTAGAAATACATTCGTAGTCTTAATAATAGAGACCTTCTATGAATAAGTGTACCGCCAAGCTTGCTAGTATATCGAGAGGTATATCCAATATAGCTACTCCTGCGCGGTTTCACCCGCTGCTCAGCTCCATTTGACCGCAGCGAGATGTTTTATAGCCTATAGCACTCAGGAACATTGTAGCTATCAATCAGTGAAAGAATTTTGGCAATCCGACCAGCAGTTTCAAAGATTATCCCCTACATACAAACTTACAAATTTTACCTCTTTATAATATTATATCCAATATATTTTTTGTTTTGTAAATTTGCAGGCATTGTTTATTCCATTTTCGAAAGTCACATTAGACAAACATGATACCATAACTCATTCGGGTCATTTAGTTAATATAAAAACACTAGAACCCAATTCAATAAAATACTTAATTAAATGTTATACTAAAATCTTAATATTTATAATGACAATCGTCACGTTGTTATTCTCTTACACATATGTTTTGCTTTGCTTTGTAGGCATTCCAATATAACAAAACTAGCTACTCTCGCGCGGTTTCACCCGCTGCTCGGCTCCAATTAATCGTAGTGTGATGTTTTATATCCTATAGGACTCAGGAACTTCGTAGCTATCTATCAGTGAAAGAATTTTGGCAATCATACCAGCGGTTCCAAAGATTACCAATACATAAAAACTTGCAGACTTACAAATTTTATCTCTATAATATTAGTATAGATAAAATTATCCAACTTCCGCGACTTTTGTAAAGCAGCAAGTTTGCAGGGGGTTTATGCATAATATTATATTAGTAGAAAATGGTAAAGGTACACACTTACCATCAATTTCTTATTGTCTCGTACTTTCTGTACAGTCTTGCCGTGCACTTGTTTCTTTCTCTTCATAGCCAAATAACTAGGAGCGTCATTCTTAGCGGCCAATTCTAAAATCGTCTGAAAGAAATATTTAAAATTAATAACAAGAAGAATATTTTTGTTTATTATAACATAAAATATTTTAATCCCTAAAGAACACAATGTGGAGATATTTCGTGAGCTTTATTTAACCATGTTTTATTTTTGTACTAATCAAGTAATCATGTTTGTAACTCTTTGGTCTGAACAGGTAAACCAAAAGCTAGTTTGCCACCTCATCACCAAAAAAGTACTTACTCCTTTAGGCGTATAATTCTTGATTTTCTCAATCATATCGACAGCGGCGCTTTCCATCTCGTCCACCAAGAATGGGTGAGCAACTACGGGGAAGTTAGTTAGCTTGGCGCGCTTGTTGGCCTCGGCTGAGGCAGGCTCGCGCCATTTTATATATTGTTGCCAACCACGACCACAGACACGAGCTGCGTCTTCCTGTAAAGGCAGTAAAATATTAATAATGGACGAAATTATTCATAGCTTTTAACAAAAAAAACGTTGCCCCCTACATAAGGGTTTTTTCTTTTGTAATGGATGTGCTTACAAACATACATAACAGAGTGTCCAGTCCGAAATTGCTTTAAGTTACAGCAAATAAACGTGTCAATCGTGGAGACCACACCGAGGCCCGGACAATATGTACACGAAAAATGTTTACGTGCTTGGAAACCTAACATTCGCAAAGGGAATCGGACATGCGACAACAGTCGCTTGCCTAGCTATTGCGGCAAATCGAGTACATCTTGTAAAGAAAATAATAAACAAGAGAACGAAACTCACAATTTCTGAAACATTCTTCTCCCAAGCCATAATATCCTGATGCCTTAGCTCGAGCTGTGAGGTAGGTATAGCTCCCCAAACTCCGCTGGGACAGGTGGACCCACTCTCTTTGACTTGAGAAGGAGATATGAGTTCTGCTCCGAGAAACAGTTGAAGGTCTAATAGATGAGCGACGTCTTCTGGCGCTATTAAAGAGAAAGCACGACCCGCACGACCGGCTCGAGCACTGCGACCTGGGAAATTGAAAATTGGTAATAGTAATATGTATCTTATTATAATTAACACTACATAGAATTTTTAATGTAAATATTGGAAATACTAATGTCTGTTTAAGATAGTACCTGTGCAGCTGTGTTAGAAGTTAATGAAAATGCGTACATTTCACTTGAGCAACTTAACTTTGGGCGTTAAAATACATGAGCGAGTGATTTATCTTTCTCACAAATTATATGCTATATTTTTGTAAACCTATTACTTTCGGCAAGAACTAGACACAACGTTTAAACTAGCCACATACTAAATTGACAGACAGACTTGAAACTAGTAGAGATTTTGGCAGTTAATTCACGTGAGAAAGTCTTTATTTTTAATAAATTTTATGTCTAAATAGCTACAAAGTGCCCGATATTTTTTTACTTTAGATAAATTAGGATGAACTTAGTGAACATAAGTTTATTGGGAACTTATAGGAAGGTCGAGAAAATACCATATAATACTGGCATTAAATTAAAATAAACTCACCAACTCTATGCACAAAAAGCTTTGGTTTGGCGGGAAAGTTGTAGTTGATGACAGTATCTAAAGCAGGCAGATCGAGACCTCTAGCGGCGACGTCAGTAACTATTAGTACTGAGCACTTTTTGTTGGTGAAGCGACCGAGAGCTATCTTACGCGCCGATGGATCGAGTCCGGAGTACGCGTATGTAGACGATATGCCAGCCTGTTGCAGAATCTGGGGAAAAATTATTAGTATTATTATAGAAAAAAAAATGAAACAAAAAAAATCTATAAACTATAAAACAACACAATGGTTGAAACAAAGTGTATAAGTACTTACTAAATGCAAATACTCGACATGATGCTTGGTGGCTGCAAAAACGACTGCCTGTGGTGTTTTAGCGGTTAAAACTTTATCCAAGAGAATCAACAAGGCAGCGGTCTTTAATTCTGCTCTTACTGCGATCCAACCCAGCCACAAGGTTGATGGCAACTTCCAATCCACATCCAACCTCACTAGAGTCGGGTCCGTCAGACCTGCTCTGGCGAATTCCACCAACATTTTTGGTAGCGTCGCCGAAAATAACAGTGTCTGACGGGATGAAGGTAATCGGGCAACAATTTCTCGAAGTTGTTCTCCAAATCCAAGCTCAAAGAGCCGATCAGCTTCGTCAAATACTATGACTTCTGTAAAGGTTTGATAAGGAATATATGAGCATTTTGTAGGTAAGTATAGCTGGGCAACAGGTTGTCGCACATGTCGCGAGTTGGACCCCCATGGAACAACATTTTATGTGATTTACAAATTCTTGTTTTGGATTTGGGTGTGATATGTATGTGCAATAGTATGTTTGTAAATGCTCCCACAAAGAAACAGAAGAAAGTCGTTATGCGGCGCAATTTATTTAAGAACCAAAGAAAAAAGTCTAATTTAAGAAAGTGAATGTCCAGTAAACGCTAAAAGGACTATCCAATGAGTTTCATAACATAACCAGTGAAAGAAACAACACACCGGACAGTTAACAATGCAGAAAACACAAAAACAGGCTGAAAATCAGACAGAATGCAATATGTAGACACACACTACATTCTGTCCTGTGGTGCAGTTGTGGATTTTAATTATAATGGACATTTTAATAAAATAATACTATTGCATACATAAATTCAAACAATATTCTGACTTACGTATGTTATCAAGTTTCAAGCTCATCTCAATACAGATGTGAAGGAACCGCCCCGGAGTCGCGACCACAATATCCGGTGCTGTACCCGACATCACACTGAACTGCTGCTCTATTGACTCTCCGCCAAGAATTGCTGCTGATGAGAGCCCAGTGAACTTTCCAAGTTCTCTCACAAACCTTAATGTCTAGAATAAAAAGATTAAGATTATGTTGTTACAGTGAAAGTAATTGACATTTAAGACATATGGAATCACAATGACAATTTTTTTCTATTTATACAACATGTAATTACAAGGGTATTATTAACACAAATATGTAATAATTATTTTGAATTAATTTTATGTTGTAAAGATGAAACACGAAAGTTTTAAAGTTAGTTTTTTCTATTTCATTGAAGGACTCAAATAAAATAAGTATTTGAGAGTAAAAATTATAACTACACTGTAAAATCAAAATTATTAGATACATACTTAATTTAGTTCTTTGATTTCTGTACAAAAATCATAGTTAACAAGTTACATAAATTGATTTTACCTGTAAAGCCAACTCCCTAGTAGGTGAGAGGATGAGAGCTCTGAAGTTTTTTCCTGGCAATGGCTTTGAGTTTGGAGCTAGCAGTTTTTCCAATATAGGGAGGACGAAACAAGCCGTTTTACCCGACCCTGTTCGAGCCATAGCAACTACATCTTTGCCTGTTAATGCAAGAGGAATTGTCTGAAAAAAAGAGATAGGAAATTAGATATCAATTAAAGGAATTGAAAAAATACAATAATTATTATATACCTTTACTTTTGACACGTTTCAAGTGTGGTAATGTAATTATATTGAATAATTATGGTTAGTTCAACCAAAGGTCTCAAAAGCAGTGTTATTGTGAACTTTTTGAGGTTAAGTTCTTAATACTCAAAATATTGGATTTTTTTCACTCACCTTGCGCTGTATTGGGGTTGGCTGCTTATATCCCCTTTTCGTAATACCTTTAAGTATTGGGAAACTTAATCCCATCGACTGAAATCCACCAGAACTCTTCTTTTTTTTCTTATTGTTCGGAGTTTCATCTTGTGAGTTTTCAACATCTTCGGGGGCATCAAAACCCGGAAGATGATCTTCCTTGTCTTTAGAAGACATATTTTACTGACCAAACGTATAAATCCAATATTCACATAATCAACTTATTTCACAATTCACATGCACACATGTGAAACTTGGGGAACACTCGTGTTTTTATTTTGTTTGACGTTATTGACAGTTCCTTTATTTGACAGATTTCATTTTCACATTGACGTTATTCAATATCACCACAGACAATGCTGTATTGATTCGATTCTGGAGACTGACTAATTAGGTGAGTCAACTGTTGTTCTGATTTTTGTGGTATTTTTACGAGTATATGGCAGCAAAAAAACAGGCGTATAACCTAATGGTAAATAATAATTAGCGAATGAATTTGTTACAGCGCCATCTAGCATTGAGTGGCTGAACCCGTTCTATATTGTTTTATTTAAGTTTTAATGATAAACGCCTGTATTATTGATTATGACATGTGAAATGCTATCAACTTTCGCTCATTGTTATAAGACTAAATTTTTAACAACACTTAGAAGAAGATTTGCTAAAGTTGCGTTTTTAACTTTTTACCCAATTATATAGTAGTTTTTAATGTGTTTTTTTTTAGGGAGCCGAGTCACCCGGGTCCGTCGGAGAATACCCACAGTTAGGCCCTACACGTGGTCCCCGGGTGGTGCTAATCAGGTGACACTAGCTGGTGGTAGGTTTCGACCGATGGCTTGTGACCACCCACTGGGCAAAGACGTACCGCCAAGCGGCCTAGCCGTGTTCCGGTACGATGCCCTGTGTAGCCACTACTGAGGAAATGGGTCGAAGTGGCGGTTCCAATGCATGCAGACCAGCCGGCCTCGCACTGGTATTGACGTATCGGGAGACTAGTCGAGGAGGGTAGCGGGATCCGAGGCACGGTGCACCGCTGGCCGACCGCAGTTAGTAGGGGGCCCAAGTAATGTGCTAGCCACACGTGAAAGGCTGCCCCGCCAACTGACGAAAAATCCCGGAATGCACCATCGTGCTGGTTGGCGACCAGATGAGAGGGCCCGATGATCATTTCCGAGGGGGCTCGGGCGTCCCCGCAGTCTCCAGACTAGTACCCCAATGATGCTGTCCCACCGGTGCGCGACCGAAGGTTGGCTGCATAGGGCTCCATCTCACTTCCTTCTCCTCATACCTTCTTCACTCTTAATATGCCAAAGTCCAAGAAAAAGAGAAACGGTACACAGCGGCTGCACTCCCTCTCACTTAAAGTGCACCTCAGCAATATTCGAGGTCTGCACTCCAATCTCTCAGCAGTCCATCACCACCTTGAGACGGAAAAACCATCCCTCTTTTTTCTTTCGGAGACGCAGATTAGAAGTCCATCAGATGTGTCGTACCTGTCTTACCCAGGGTTTATCCTGGAGCACAATTTTAAACCACACGCTGGCGTGTGCTTGTACGCCCGGGACGACATCTGCTATCGGCGTCTCCGCAACCTTGAGGATCCCAAATTCTCAACGCTTTGGGCTCTGGTGGACACAGGCGTGGATAAAATTATCTATGCTTGTGTTTACCGCTCGCACAGTGGAGATCAGGAGGCGACCAGGCTCACACAGTACCTTAGTGAGGCGGCGGATGCGGCTCAGCAGAGGTACCCTTCCGCTCAACTGGTTTTACTGGGGGACTTTAATGCCCACCATCAGGAGTGGCTCTTCCCATACCAGTGCACAGACCATGCTGCATGCGAAAGCTTGCGCTAGCATTAAATCTCACTCAGCTGGTCCAGGGAGCTACAAGGGTGCCGGATGTTGATTCGCACACGGCCAATTGCTTGGACCTTCTGCTGACAACAGATCCAGACCGCTACTCAGTGTCGATTTCATCACCATTAGGTAGTTCCGACCACTGTCTGGTGAAATCTGTATCAGTCTATTCTCCGCCTGATCTCTGCCCTAGAGGCACCAGGCGGATCTGGCGATACAGGTCAGCAGAATGGGAGGGCATGCGATCTTTCTTCGCATGTTATCCTTGGCAGCCTACTTGCTTTTCTTCGGATGATCCATCGTCATGCGCAGATGCTGTGGCGGATGTGCTGCGCCGGGGGATGGAGTACTACATTCCATTCTCCGACGTGACAATGTCTAGCCAAGCTCGTCCTTGGTTTGGTGCTGAATGTGATCGCGCTAATGCGCTTAAACACGAAGCATACCGGGCCTGGGCCGACGCTCGCATGCGTAAGGCGAGTGACGTGAGTCAGAAGAAGAGAGCCTTCAACAGTGCTGCCAAGTCTTGCAAGAAGGCAATGCGGAGGTCTCGATTCGACCAGATCAGCCGCATCGAGAACAAACTTGCTTCATACCCCGCTGGTAGCAAAGCGTTTTGGTCCTTGGCTAAGTCGGTTGAATCGAACTTCTGCCGCCCCTCACTACCGCCATTGCTGAGGCCCGACGGTTCGCTGGCCCACACCGCTGAGGAGAAAGCAAATCTGTTTGCCTCCCTCTTCGCGGAATCTTCGCGTCTAGATCCCGGTGACGCGCGGCCCCCTGCTTATCCTGATGGTTGTGAGACGAGTATGTCAGACATTCGCATCCATCAGAAGGACGTCCGTAGGGTGCTACGTAACCTAGACGTGAACAAGGCTAGCGGTCCTGACGGGATACCGGCAATCGTGCTGAAAACGTGTGCGCCAGAATTGACTCCAATCCTGACACGCCTATTTAGGCTTTCATTTGAGGCTGGAAAAGTGCCGAATGCATGGAAGCAAGCTAACGTACAGCCCGTGCCCAAAAAGGGTAGTCGGGCTGACCCAGCTAACTACAGGTCCATCTCAGTAACGTCCATTCTCTGTAAGACAATGGAACGTGTGCTGAACACAAAACTCCTGGCATACCTAGAAGCCAATGATATCTTAAGTGACCGACAATACGGATTTCGCCGGAATCGGTCCACAGGTGATCTTCTAGCGTATGCCATCCACATCTGGAGTGAGGCCATCGAGAAACACGCGCTTGCCGTCTCCCTTGACATCTCGAAGGCTTTCGATAGGGTATGGCACGAAAGGCTTATTAGTAAGCTTCCTTCATTCGGTTTACCCACTGGATTGTGTGTTTGGATCGCAGACTTTTTGAGTTTGGTCCATCCGTGTGGTCATCGATGGTAGCTCGTCGAGTCAAATGACCATCAATGCTGGGGTTCCTCAGGGGCAGTGCTCTCGGCAACATTGTTCTTGTTGCACATAAACGACCTGCTTAAGCCCGGTACCTTTGGGTATGCAGACGACAGCACTGTTGTTGAGAGTTACACGTCCGGCGCACGAGCTAGTGGGTCACAGATCCAGACTCTTCGAGAGGCTATGGTTGGGCGCTTGAACTTGTCCTTGGAGGCTGTCTCTAAATGGGGCGATGCCAACATGGTCAGGTTCAATGCAGCTAAAACTCAGGCGTGCTATTTTCCAGTAAAAGGAGTCAATTTAGCCCTGCTCCAACTTTCCGGGGTGTATCCGTGCCGATAACTGACCATCTTGATCTTCTTGGTATAACGCTGACGTCTACTCTCAATTTTGGGCCATACATCGAAGCAAAAGCTCAACTGGCTGCAAAAAAGTTGGGAATCCTCGCAAGTCGCAAGTGTTAGACAATACTTCACGCCGGAACAGCTGCTTAAACTTTATCAGGCGCAAGTTCGATCGGTTATGGAGTACTGCTCTCATCTTTGGGACGGATCTGTCCGATACCAACTTAATGCGCTTGAGTCTATTAAGAGGCGAGCCAAGAGGATCATTGGCGATGATGCACTTGTCGAGTCGAGACTTCAAAGTCTTGAGCATCGACGCCGAGTTGCTAGCCTGTTGGTTTTCTACCGGTTGCATTTCGGGGAATGTGCGTTGGAATTACATAATTCAATTCCGCCTAGCCCGTTCCATCATCGGACCACCAGACGTACGGCATTGCGCCACCGGTACATGGTGGATGTCCCACACACACACGTACAAAACGTTTTGGGAGCACATTCATCATGCGTACAGCCAAGGAGTGGAATTCCTTGCCGGAGTCGGTGTTTCCTGATAGCTACAATCCGGGTATCTTTAAGTCAAGAGTGAATAGGTTACTTCTAGGTAAGCGCGCTCCATCGTCGACCGCATCGTCGCTTTCCATCAGGTGAGATAGCGGACAAGTGCGAGCCTATAATCAATAAAAAAAAATGGACAATTTGATTTGCAAATGTGTGAGTTTGGCGATATAGCTTTTCCTTTTGAAAGAGTGTACATTTCTACTTAATTTTCTGTTCTGTGTTCACTCCGATCGAGCTGGCCCATTTGGCCGAACCATGGCTCTTCCACACTTATTTTGTGAGACGCGTCGAGGTCTCGATGCGTCTTACAGAAATGCACGATTAGAAATGGGCACTGGGAAAAAAACCCAAAGGGAATATACCCAGGTCTTTTTCTATTTGGGAAAAAACCGGGTTTGTATGTGGGAAAAAACCCAATAGACGGGTATTTTTGTTATTTAAAGTAATTATCATGATCATATTTTATTTTTAAATAAATAGGTACTTTGTGATGCGTACCTAGGTACACTCTTTGTATAAAAGTCACTAGCTGTCGTCTGTTTTTTAAAGCGTCAAATTAGTTTAGTTAAGCATCATTTATTATAACACCAAAAAGACGTATTCTTGTTTTAGTTGTTTTATTATTAAGTACTTATAGGATTTTTTTCTGCGGACTGTGTTGGAATGTTAATAATAGAAAGAACACCTATTGAAACGTTTAAAAATATTTAACAGAAAAAAAACAACAAGAGATAGGTACTTATTAACAATCATTTATTATTACACATTGCAAACGTTACAAAACAGTTTTTTTACAATTGAAAAGTTTTAGTCACTGTCGCTACTGTCATTGTCATTAAAATGATTAATAACGTATTAATAATCATTTAGTTTTAACCTAAACATCTACTTTGCACTCCCCTTCGTTTTGTGTTTTAACCCTTGTGTCGTTAAAACTAACAAATTGTTTTGTCCTTTTCCAGCACTACAAACATCATTGATTACCGGTCATTAGTTACATTACTCTTGTTTTTTTTTTACACCGATCACAGTGTCATTTCCTACCTCGAAGTTGGCAAAATCTTCGAATGATGAAGGAGCCATAAACAAAAAGAAGAAGAAGAATAACGTATTGCAAAATTCTATTTCTTGCGCATTT